ATGCAATCAGTAAGGAATTCATCAGCTATGGTGCTCCGAAGTCTATTCTTAATAATTCTCATACATGAAAAAGCTCGTTATGTTGTTGTTGTAGGAACAAGAAGAGTCAACACCAACTGAATCAACTTGTAAAGCAAATGGTAGTTTTCTGCCAAAGTTGTTTCCACCAATTGTTGACATAACTGAGGAAGAGTAGTGAGGTCCTTACAGCAGGGAAGGTGATGCATATCATTTTGAAAATACCTCAACTCAAAAGTTTAATTGTTTGCTCTGGAAATCTGTCATTTAACTCCCTTAACATACAATCTATCACATCATTAAATACATCAATGCGATAGTAATGTTCAACTATAATAAAATCTTTTTGTTGACAAAAACGACCACTAATTTTCTGGCTTTATGTGGTTAGGATGAGGTTTGTTCGGTGGCACGATTCGTTAAAATAATTATTTTTTGTGTCGATTTATACGATCGACACTAGACGTACCCATTCGCCGAGTGGGAACCGGGTAAGTGGAAAGCCGCAATATAACAATCATTTTATACAAGTCTTTTTACGATTCACCGATTTCTAAGAAAAATATTCTTTGGAAGGGAAGGAATAGATATTTACAAAATATAATAAAGAAGAGTTATCACTCTACGGGTTTCCTCATTCCGATGGTAGGGACTCATATAACGAGAACTCATATCAGGAACATCAATACCATATTGTTCACAAAATGATACCATACTTATGAATAAATCATCTCAGTCATGTGCCCTCATATCTTGGAACTGTGATTTTGTGTTTTCAACAAAGTTTAAAGCACTTACAATATCTTGAGTTTTTGTCTGAAATACTTGACAAATAAAGTTGGTCAATCCTATAATTTTATCCATCAAAAGCAATAAAAAATTCAAAAGACATCATAGCAATATAGTTACTCTCTGCATTGCCACGAAATTGTTGGTTAGGTCCATAATCACTGATTTCCTGGAGAAGTATTTTAGTCTTTTTAAATAAACTCATCAAACTTGTAATAGAGGCAAAGTGAGATCCCCAACAAGTAGCTCCAGCTCGTTTCAAACTATGACCTTGATTAAGTCTTCTACCTGTCTCAAGTTCCCCAAAATCCAACAATTCTTTGAGTTCAGCTTTTCGAATTAAATTTAACTCATTACGGCACTTAGCAGAAGCACTAACAAAATTCCCAATGTTAGTCAACGTTAGAAAAAATCTCCATACCCAAGTGGGTTTGGTCTAGTGGAAAATTGAACGGGCTAGGCCACACATGTTGGACAAATGTGATTGGGCTCCTCAATGAGGTCCCAGGTTCGATCCTCCTAATGTGTAACAAACCTCTTGGGAAGAGTTTTCCCTTAACCTGTGCCTGGCTCGGGGAGATGACACTTCTGCCACCTTTTTTGTAATTAAAAAAAAATATCCATACAACTTTAACATCTTTCACATGCTTATATTGCTTTTTATTGTTTTTGTTAAAGGAGAAAGTTTGAGTGTGCTAGGCTATTGTTTTTGTTAAAGGGAAAAATTTGAGTGTGTTGGGTTTGAGTAGACAGAAGAAATTTGATTGTATTGGGTATTGGGTAATTTTTAGTTTGGCAAAAAATGGAGTAGCCGCTGCCTACCCTGCTATTAGGGTAGGACCACCTTTGGTGAGTTGAGTTTGAGTAGGCAGAAAAAATTTGATTGTATTGGGTATTGGGTAATTTTTAATTTGACAAAAAATGAAGTAGGCGGTTGCCTACCCTGCACTTAGGGTAGGACCGCCCCCACCACTCTTAGGTTGCCACCGTCTAGAGTTTTACTTGCAAACCCTACTTTGACTTTTCGATCCTGACTTGTCTCTTCTTTTAGGAGACGTCACCTAAAAATAATTGAAGAAATTGGTTGAATAATAAGACAATTTACATGAATACATTTTAAAGCAAACAATAAATGAAAATAAATGAAAATTCGTTTTTTTTTCTCACACTATCAAATGAGTAATTACTGCCTACCACATTACACCTCATATATAAACAAAAGCCTCTTGGTAAAGAAGGCCCAATGAGGTCAAAAAAGCATGAAACTGAACATGACAGAGGATCGTGAAATGACGCCATTTTAACCCGAAGGTATAAACCTATAAGTGAGCTCACACGACACCATATTTTAACCCCAAAGGTACCTATAGCTTGCAAATTTAACATCCTGAATTTGTTAATTGTTAATGGTAAAATCAAAAACAAAAACAAAAACAAGAAGTTTTGTCACTCATTCTTCCATTTGTGGTCACCCTGTAAAATATTAAAAGAAACGGCGACCCACTACTAACATTGATATTGTCCTCAACTTAACAATTTGCAAAGTCCAATAAATATGAAATTTTATCATAAAAGACCTCGGTATATTTATTACTAAAACCACTCATTATATTGTATTTATTTTTGTCAAATTTCTGATGTAGACATTCATTCTTCAACACGTCCAACATCACAGTGTCAAGTGCAAGCTATATAGCCAAGCAGAGCTTTTCCTGATATGCTGGAGACGTTTTGCCTCAGTGCCCGACAGTGATCCCAAGAAAGATGCTTCTTTTCAAAAATTGGGTTTGATGGTATGACATTTTCCAAAGAGGGGGGAACAGGCGGGCATAGTAATCAATTGCCCAAACAAAACTAGTGGGCATAGTAATGCTCTCTATAATTTCTACACGGACAATGTCACATTTTTCAGACTTTTTTTCAATTCTTTCCAAATGAAATGACATTATTGGATTCCTTAGTTTGTAAATGGTGTGCACATCAAGTATTGCTACACATATTAAGTCAAAATTAAACTATTAAGCATGTTCTTCTACAATGTCCAAGGGGGGCTCAAAATTTGTGTACATATAATTGTTTACGAGTGAATTTTTTAGAGTCCAATAACACAAGGGCCCAAATAAAAATCACTTCAAGTTCTCTAACAATTACAATTGAATGTTAAAAACTTATTAATTTGCTTTTAAAACAACAAACGTCCAATTAATCTAACATTTCCTTCAAGAAAACTAGTTATTCCATTCCATTCCGATTTTTTTGTTTTTTTTGGGTTGCCGATGATTTTATGGTTTTTTAAATTTGGCTTTTAAGAATATTTTATGATTCATGTAGTTTTGTTATTTTAGTTTAATAGAACTACTACTTAAGCCAGAAATAAAATACATGTGAAGAATAATTTTATTTTTCTTAATTCTTGAACTATGATTGTATACAAAGGGAAAGGGACTCATTCTAATTTCTGGCCCCAGACCACGAAAAAACAAGGTTGTCTTTAATAACGATGCTTCCTTGACACAACCCAAATTATTTTTGTTTCTTAATTTCTTTTTTTTTTTTTTTTTTTTTTTTTTTTAAACACATGCTCAAGATTTATAATTATCGGGATGCCGCCAACTAAAATTTATGACCATACCAAAAAGAGGGGAGTGATTTCTAAGAGCATCCACAATGATGCTCTCTATTTCTTAGCTAAAAATATAGGAAAGTTATTTTAGGAGCTCTCTAAAAAATTTCAACTCCAACCACACTCCCTAATTTGGAGAGTCATAAATGCTATAACTCTTTTTGATTGATCCGTCTCTATTAAAAAATAAAATAAAAAATAGTTAGCATTAAATAAATGCTTGAAATACTCATTAAATAAGCATTAAATTATAGGGAGCCACTAGGAGTTCTTTCTCTCTCCTCAGATTTAGGAGCTCCTAGAGGACTCCCTATTTTAGGAGGTGGATAGGGAGCATGGTTGGAGTTACATTTTTACAATTCCTCCATAAAATTTGTCTAAGGAGGTGATTTAGGGAGTCCATTGTGGATGCTCTAAGTACTTTTATGAGATAATGTAAAAATACATCAACACTGAACATATTTCTAGGGAAGTTACCTTAGCACACTTACAACATTTAGGTGTACCTTGAAATACTTCATATGTTTAGCATCTTCGTCTCGAAATACTTCATATTTAAGTATGCTTGAAATACTTTATCTTTAAGGATGTCATAAAAAAAAAGTGAGGTTCTACCCCAAAATCAATTAGCAATGGGGGTTGTAACACAACTTCTTATAAGCCCTTTTAAAATTTGTTACTTTTCCGATGTGACACAATTTCACTTTCAAATTCTCACCGACCAACCAACTCCGGTGACACAAAATAATTGCAGTGGCATGTGGCAAGTAGAGGATGGTATGCAACATAATTTCTTTGATAAGGGTAAAATGGAGTTTTTGCCTTTTCAAAAATTCAACAAGCGAACTTGTTACCCGAAACTAATTAAAAATAAAATCTCATTGACCAAACTTGAAAATAAAAATATACATTAATTATACTCTCTAATATTAAAGAAATATTATTGACCAAACACCAATTAATCTAATTCATAAACACAGTCAATTTCACTATATAATATTGGGCAAATAATAAAATAGTATATCCTGATAATTCACCTTGGTTTCCGAACCCATTTCCTTGGTTCAAGAACATGTTTCTTCCTTGTATAAAATTTCGTATTTAGCATCGGAAGTGCAAAACGACAAGCGTGCCAATTAATCATCCTGCTAGCTAAACATTGTTCAATTTAAATACAGACATACATGCACGCACGCACTAAACCCACCACAGAAACATACAAACAAACATATCAGAAAAAGATCCGTCTCTTTCTCTGATATCAAATCATCCCCAACCGAACACCACAAACACAGCTCAGACCAGACACAAAAAGATCCGTCTTTTTCTAATGCATATCATGTGAGTGATATAAAATTCGAAGTATATATATCAACTGTATTTCAAGAGAAAGAAGATATAAAATCACATGGTCTTACATCTTAAAAGTTGTAAATTACATAAAAGTCACTATGCTAGCATTCACTTTTGTTGCAACTTGCAATTCAATCGCCTAAATCTATATATATCTCTCACCAATCTTTTTTTTTTTTTTTTTTTTTTTTTTTTTTTTTTTTTTTTTTTTTTTTTTTCATGATGTTTCTATATCAAGAAAAATACTGAGTTCAGGACCTCCATTGCCTTCTGGGTTCAACATGTAAAAGGCCTCCGAGTCTCGGCTTCCCACAACTCTTTCAAACCTAGCCCTCATGTAAAGCAACTCGCCTTCTGAAGAGCTACCCTTTTTCCCGTCATCCACCACTGGAATCACGCCTGCTCCGACTGACACGCTCCGAACAGTAGTCAACACGTGCCAGTCGGACTCCCCGCACGTACGAGACCCTGCGTAGCCGCACTTCCTCCCGTTGCAATACATGGTCCAGGAAGGCTCCTGAAACAGTTTACGGCCGTGGATACCCGTACGGCTGGAACCATGATGCCTTTCGGACTCGAGAGCAATGCGGACGAGTCCGGAAGACATCTCCTTGACGAGTGAAGATGTTGACATGGCAAGCTCGAGAAGCAAAACGGGCTCCGAACTGGGATCCAGCTGGACGGCGAAGCTGACATGGCCACGGCGGTTCCCGAAGAGCGTCCCGGTGACTTTTCTGCCCAGGGAGGGAGTGATGGAGAGGCCGGAGGGGATGGCAAGCCACTTGCAAGTTGGGATAATGGTGGGGAAGGAGAGGAAGCTGAGAAAAGAGCGGAGGAGTGAGGTGAGCTTGGTTTGGGTTTTGGAGAGTTGGTGGATGGAGACTGGGGAGTGCTGCTTCGGAATCAAGAAGTTGTTGGAGACGTCTTCGTTTTGATGATGATGATGATGATGATCAAGTGGGAGAGTGGACGATGAGGATCTGAAGTGGTTTGATGGGATGATCTTTCTTGATGAGCTTCTTGCGATGGAAGTAGTGCTGTTGCTTCTGTGGAGGTTGAGGTCTTGGTGTTTCATGGTGAAACGAAAACTAAACGAAAATGATACGATCAAAGAAAATGTTGGGTTGGTTTGTATTTATTTATTTATTTATTTGCTAATTTTGAAGTATGAACACAAAGAAAATGTACAAGTATTTTTTGTGGCTGATGAATCTGAATTTGCAGAAAGAGGAGAAGGCGTGGGTTTCTCTGTTGATAGAAGAAATGGAATTAAAGAGGCCGACAAGTGATGATAGTGTTGGGAGGTGGCCAATATAAAGGGGGACTATGGAGGCTTGTGGTGATGATGATTTCATCCAAGAACTTTTATATTGTGTGCTTAAGACCTCATATGGTCCTACAAACCACCACATTATATATGCCACACCACTTTTCATCTACCTGCTTTTTTTTTAATTGAAAATTACTTTTAATTTCCTAATTTTCTTATTAGTATTTAACATTTTTTTTTTAATATACAAACGATAATGCAGAATGAGATATTCAAACACATAACTTCGGGTACACATAATTTCAGAGTTATCTATATTTTTGTTGCAACCCAAAGAGAAAAAATTAGGTCAATAAGCTCATGGATAGATTTGAGTGGTGTCATGATCTTTCTTGATGGTCACATAACGTTTTACGATTTCATGATCTTGTAAGTTGGCCGTTGGATTAAAATCATGAAGAATAAGTGGTTGAGATATGAATTTATTAAAAATAAAAACAAAAAGTGGTTGAGATATGAGACATTGTTTAGACTTAAACCACAGACTCGTCGATTCCATTTCATTTTTGAATGAAGTGGTAGTGGTCCAAGTTCATGGGACGGTTGCCCTAAACCACAAAATGGAGGCCTTGTATTAATAATACGGGAGATTTTCTATATCCTGCCATCATTCTAGGGAGAGTTTTCGGTGAAAAAGCAACTTCTATTATTTGCAATGCATCTTATATTATATATGTAATCTTTCTCAGTTCTGGTGCACGCCCGTTTTATTACTCTTATATTTTTACTAATCTAGACTGATATCCTATGTAGCACTGATAATACTCTGCCGGGGTATGCGACTATTGATACGGCTTGGATATGATATGCATCCGATACGTATTTGATACTTCAATTTATGTAACATGGACTTTCTAAAATGTTGACGGTCTAATATGTTGTCAATACACGAAGGATACAGTCTTGATATAATCAAGATACGGGGATGGGTTATTTTGAAAATTATGCCTCGATTTATAAAAGACCTAGCCAAGTGGTTTCGGCGACAACGATATATAAAGAAGAGGAATAAAGATGAGCTGTCAATTTGCCATTTAAATTATTTTTTAAATATATACTAATTTAATTGCTGTATTTGTATTCTAGTTTTTGAAAATTTGTCATATCGTATCGACATGTATGTACCCTTAACTGTGCAATATAGTTGATAACTCGATGATCAATAGTGAAGAAATTTCAAATGTTAGACCGAAGTTAAAATTTAAAGAATTTTCACTAATAAGGGTCTAATGACGCAAAACAAAAAATGACATATAGTAAATGTGGGTTAGGTCAGTTGGCCAAGGCAGTGTACCAATCCTTTACAGATCAAAGGCCTAAATGACAAGCAATGAGCTGACCTAACAGCCAGGCAACAGGACTGCTTACGGGGACACCCAAATTCGATTACCCTCCCTGAACATTAGATTAATTTAGAATATCGATTTGTAGAAAAAAAATTAAATTAATAAGGCATGTTGAATATTTAACGCGTTATTTTAGTTGGATGTAACTTTAGTTTTATACAATTTATTTTTGGGCCATAAAATCACCAATCATTAAAAGCTCTAATTTTATGTATACCTTTACCATGAGGTTCCGCACTCTTCTTTGATCTGTTTTAGGGCCGGGGCCCGGGTCGAATTGCCTCAACCTGAGGGAAAGATGAGGTGAGAAGAGAAGAAAGAGGTATGGAGTTCGAAAATCATCTCTAATTGTGAATAGGAAATATTAAAAATATATTCTACATTATCTCTCCTTATTGCTTAACATCTCTCCTCTCTCTCTCTCTCTCTCTCTCTCTCTCTCAAAACAACTAACATCGTTGTCAAACGACGTAAACACCAGAACCAATAGAACTTACAGAAGTATTGGTTTTATGAACAAGTTCGGAAAGAAAGAAAAAACTTATCTTGTATTTGTCTAATGAATTGCGATAAGCATTGGGGAGTTGACCCAACACAAGGGCGTGATGAGAGACTGGGAAGTTTTTTACTGGTTGAAAGTGACACGAGGGTGACGAGCATGATAGGGAAAGTCGATCCAAATTATGTCGTATGAGAAAGGCCAACTTGTCCCCATCAATTTGGAAGCCACACAAATAATGCCTTTTAAAAAAAATATATAAATTACTTTTTGCTCAATACATGCTTTTCTATAATTAATCATCATTACCATAATTAAATATATTAAGCAGTTAATAAAATTGTATTGAACATTTTGGACGGTTCCAAACAGAATGGGTTGCCCCATGACCAATAGATTGGTGGCCTAAACGTTGTGTTTTTGTGTCACCAAGAGTTCAATGTGGACAGAATCAGCCTTATATCATTATTCATCTCATACATCAGCACGAAAATAATTGTGTATGTTTGAAAATTTAGAATAATTTTATAATTAAACATCTCAAATCTCATTAAGTCGTTTTTTATGAAAAGAAAAATATACTATTATATAGGACCCAGAGTTGGCCAACCTTCGTGTGGGACCATTTTTTAGGTTTATTGACGCCTATGTGGTGTGTTGTAAAGTAAAATTTGGCATTGTGATGACGTCATACGTGAAACCAATTCCACATTAGTAACTATTTATAAATAAATAAAATATTTAATTAGGGTTTGTTTGATTTGGGTTCAATTCGGGGTTTTGTTTGGTTTTAGTTAGTTGGGTATGAGGTTTTATACAAAAGGTCAATGCTATTAGTAGTGTAACCTTTCATTATATATTGCATTTTATTTGACAAATTTTCAATGTGGGACTCTATATTGTTCAGCACGCCCTCTCATGTAGGATCACCACATAGTAGACTTTGTAGGTGATATAAGTTGGGGAAAATATCGATGTTAATAGTGTCCTTATGAAATCTTAACATGGTATCAAAGTGGGTTTGCCCATGTGTGAAACCCAATGGCCACATGTGCTTCACGTTACCCAATATGAATTGTTCACGTGTTAGGCTTAAAATGTTGCCACACATATGGGGGCGTGTGAGAATGTGAAGCTCAAAATGTCCCACGTTAGAAAGTTAAGAAACCTAGTAACGTACGGCTTATAGTTGAGCTACTCCCCCTATTACCAATTGTTGAGGCCCAAAAATCCAGGGTTGGGCCCAAATAAATTCTTGGCCCAGTGCGACACCTTATTAAGAAAAGACCCGGTTCGGAGCATGCGAAATTCGTCATGCACTCTTTCACGAGCCACAACCATGTGACATGCCAAATAAATATGCAATTTATCACGCTGAGAATTAAAATAAGCCTATAAAAGGCATTGGCTCTACAAGCCCATGCTAATTATTCCGTCAAGCACTATGTCTCTCTTCAAAGCGACAAAATTCAAGCACGCCAAGCGACATGCAATGCCAAGCGAAAAATCATTATTATTACACCTAGCCACGCTACAAGCTTAAGTGGGCCCATGCCACGTAAATGATCGGGGCTTGCTTGAGTGGGTTGTGGTATGGATGGTAACGAGCTTTCATGAGGCCCATTGATGAGCCGAGAAATAGAAGTTTTGGGCTGCTTAGGAGCCCCAAAACTCAAGCCTATTTTTTGAGCCCAAATATGTGGGTAAGCATAAAAGAGAGGGAAAAGCCCAAATACCCTAGAAAATTAGCCCATCACTTAAGGAAATTAGCCCATGTTCTTAATGGGCTAACTCATCACTTTAGCAAGGCCCAAATAGCTTAGAAAATATCCAAAAATCTCCAGCACATGGTTTGAAATGAAACCACGATAGAAAACCATGAGATGTTTTTACGCTCAGGCTATTGGAAGACTCCAGCACATGGCCAAAGACAAACCCAACGCAAGCCATCAGAAAAACCAAAGGATATTGGCGCGCACAGGAGAAAAGGTAGCCTTCAGACCAGCCAAAGTTACCTATCTCCTTCCTTTACTAGATCTTGCCATGATATAGGGGAGGAAAGGGGGAGAGATGATAGCCAAAAATAAGAAATCACCACTGGAATGGTTGCGAGAAGACTTATGAATTCCCAAAAATATGGTCTCTATGTATTAGGCAGAGGATAATTTCACAAAATGGGATGGATCGAAGGGAGAGAAGAGAAATGTAAGGGGAGACTTGGTAAAATTGGAGAGAACCCATTAGGGTTTCTTGGGAAGGATGAGCTTTCAACTGTTATAAAAGGAGGTACCTCCTACCCATTAAACCTAACCAGAGCAGACAAGCAAGCTTATTCTCTAACTGCTAACATCAAGCCCAAGTGCCTCACCTTCTATCTCCTTCTTCTTTATCCTAATCAAGACACACATTCAGAGAGCAAGCTACATCTCTCCTCCCTGAAACCTCTGCAATTTCAAGCCCTATTCCTCCATCTCCTCCCCTTTTCTCTTCTGTTAAAACACTCCAGAGCTTGACAAATTTTTCGTCAAGCTGCCGGAAACTACTCAACACACCCATTATACCCTCATCTCTCTCTCTCTTCAACAAACCCCCTTATAATCCATTCCCCCTTTCCTTAGAACCATTGTCTTTCATAAGAACTCACAGCTCTCTCTCTGTTTATGCTAAACTCATGATGGTTTTGCTCTCATGCCACAAGCTTCTCATGCCAAGCTAAGAATCTACCTGTAAGTTGTTGTTATTTTTGTTGGTGAAGGTAACCAAGGTGTTTTCTAAGGTTTCACTACCCTTTCAAAGTATTCTTGGGGTCTGATCTTTGAACTCAGACTCAAGGGGCAGCTTCACATGTTTCTCTTTTCGACAGCCCAAGTCCATTTGTCAAGGTGCTGGAACAAAAAGAT